GCGGCAAGAGCCGATGAGGAGTCTGCGGCACCGGGGAGTCCGGCAGCGGCGGCAGCCGCCGAGGCATTGAGCAGGGCGTCAACAGCCAGAGTGTTGGGTACGAGGCCGTTGAGGAGTTTGTTGGGGCTGGGGCAGTTGGCAAATTTAACGGTTATGGGTTCACTGCTGCCGGGAATCTGATAACCGTTCAGTTGTTGGATAGCTGCCTCCGCCTCGGAACGTTGGTCAAACCGGATGAAACCCACGCCTTTGGAAGCACCTAGTAAGGGCGGCGGGTTGAGAGGGAAAATAACACAAGTGTAAAGGATAGGAAGCATGCATAGTGCGGAAATTACGAAGGCTGAAGGTCCTGTGCGATGGGATTCTGCAAGCATTTCAATTTTATTTAAACGAAACTTCAGTAAGGGTTCCTTAGAGACATCACTGTAGTCTACTCTATATTAATAACTACTTATTTTATAATATCCTTCATTAACCTTATCTTCATTTAGCTTTCAAAAAGAGACAATCTCCTTTACCTGCTTGAGAAATGAACGCGTTTACTTACATTCCGCTCCTACTTTCTTGTTTATTTATTCGTAAATCAACTGATCGCACATGATCATGGATACTGCTGTTCAGCTCCACGTCAATCAACTAATTTTGGCCCTTTCGCGGGTATTTTGTGCTCCATTCTTACTTCCTAATGGTTGTATCTCGCATTGGCTCCTGGTTTGCTCTTATTTCAATCGCTGCGGTTTATTTAGTTGCCTTCAATTTGGTTATACTTACTTTTTGTTTACTTTTGTAATTATCACCGCTTTTTCGTGGCCATACCTCAGCTTGTATAAATAATTACGCCTATTATTTACCAATTATATACCATCCGTTTTCTTTTCAAAATTTATTTTCCACCTCCTGATATGCTTCACCTATATGACCCCTGTTGCTACTGGCCCAGTCTGACTCTATCCTTGTTTTTTTTTTAAGACTGTGCTGATGTTAATAGGGTATCTTTAGCAAAACATCTTCTCCAGGGGGAAAGAAATACGTCCCAATGAAGTGGTAATAAAACTAGCTGTCGAGATTTGATAGCTCACAATCACCATATCTTTGTTCTTTAAAAGCAGCCAGTATCAGAAAAAATGATTATTCACGAGTATAAGCCAGCGGCAAATGGCATGGTGTCCATTCCGTCAAATATTTTCCAGCTACTCAACAGCATACTATCTATGGGGATGCAGATATCGTTCATGAGGAGTTTGTGAAATTCTGTGTCTTACTGCCTACGAGGTAATCCCGCGTCTCATTAAATCGTTTCGTTAGGGCGTCTATCTATATTTTGGCGAACGCCAGTAAATTTATAAAGTGATCAATTTATCAAGGGATCCAAAATGTGATTCGTGGATAAAATAGCAGAAGAGCTTTTCACCAGGATATTCTAATTACAAGGAAAGACATCCTTAATCATTTTCCCAAAGGATGCCTTTCCTTCAAATTACATTTCTTGGAATGCCTGCCTTTCAGTTTATACGAAATATTCTAATTAACTTCCCAAGGGTTAAAGCAGGAAATTCTGTTGTTTATTGCCAGGTATACCGATTAAGGGATTAAGACGCCCGACGAACATAGCCGAATGTCCAGTTAAAGGAAAATCAAGAATTTTTATTCAAAGAATGCAGCTTACAATGAAAATTTGACTTTGACCAACATCTGATGCGCATAATCTTGACAATCTACCGAAATGTATTGGAAGTAGCTTATGGTTTAAACCAATTGCCCTTATGATAGGGGGAAGAAGAAATATTGTCAAGTTTATGCAATATCTTGCAACGGTTGGTAGGTATCCCGGGAAAAACACGACGTTAAAAGGCACTCGTCAACTACAACCAGTTGCTTTTTGACGAAATCACCTAAACTTTTGGTAGACTGTGAAAGATTGTCCTCCTGGACTTCGAGCTACCATCGAACTGGTCACACTGATAGGCGCGCAAAGTGGTCTGATGCTACATATAAACACCCCACCGGCCGAGGACACACCAACGGCACACCTTCGCAAGACAATCGAATGGCAAATGCCAAAAATGCAGCCCTCCGAAGGTATCTTATCTCTCTACTTCCGCCCACATCCGATGCGCAGTTTTCGCACCCACAGTGTGGACCGCACACGCACGCTTGCATGCAGCTTCTAGTTTTGGAAGGTGCCGCTACTTGCACATCTGCCCCCCCCCCTCACCCCTACCCGCAGAGCGATACCCACTGCCAGCCAGCGTTTTGGACTTTAGCGGATTACTGGCCGACGTGGTGTGGTGCGTTGCGCATACCCCTGGTGCTCGCTAAGTTTGCCGGAGAAAAAAGATAAATGTTTACTGTTGACGTGGGAGCCAGATTGTTAAGGACCGAGAGGCGATCTGCAGGAGTAGTCAGCTGATGCAAATACCAGCTGCTAGCGGTTAGAACTGATGGCAATTCAGATCGTCAAAGGTGCGTGTAAAGAGCTAGTTGGATTCTTGTGAAAAGGAAGACGTTTGGGCTGTCAGGACGATTGTTGAAGGACAAGTAGTAACTGGAATTATCAGTATCAAATGGCTGGGCAACAATAAAGTTGGTCTGCCACCTTAGAAAACCTTACTCCCAGAATTCTGTCTTACAGGACCATTGGTATAAGGTGTGTTTAGTTTTTAGTTTATTAGTTTGATTTAAGGTTAGTTAGTTTTGTTAAGTTTAGCTTAGTTTGATTAACTAAGTTTGGTATAAAGTAATTATTTAAATGTATTTATCTAACTTTGGCGGTATCTAACAAACTTAAAAGCCAATTGAAACTAAACCTAAAATAAACGAGTCGGCGCCTATCCAAAAGCGTAAGGGAAAACCTACCAGCATGCCCGAAAAAAACATGAGATCAGGAGCATAAACAGCACTATTCTCGCGCACATTGTTGATTCCGGATACCTCGCGGGCCCCATCGAAGCCTTCCGGATGATTTATAAGGTCCCAGCAAACTAGCCCAAGTCCCTTTGTTGGTGTCTGCTTGTAACAGTAGAAGCAGCTGCTATGCAGTTGAGGAAGATGGGCTTCTGTGCACAAAAGAACCGCAGGCAAACTCCAAGCTTGGGATGGACAACGGTCACTCAGCTGCATGCCAGTTTCCACGCTTCTCTCTCGCTCTCCCCCTTCCCTCTGGTCCGCTTTCAACAAATCCTTACCGCCGCGTAGCCAGCCACCTCTTCTCAACCCCCAATCCACCTCCCCCTATTCCCACGACTCAAGTCAATCATTATCGACAGCTTGTTTATTTTTTTACCCCGCTTGTTTACCCGATGATTATTCATCGAAAGCCTATCTATGTTCGCCAACAGGTCTTCTGAATTCTCCGATGGGAATGCTTGCCCCTCTAAACTAAAACTAATAAAACTGAAAGTAACCATAGTATTAGGGGCTAGGTGTATCTAAGGTGGTCGACCAATGAGAGTTAGGGCTTATGCAAGAAAAGCTATAATACGTGAGGGCACCTCTCCACCTGTCCGACTAGTCAGACTAATACATTAATTAGCTGCATTTTCGCTTGCCGCATGCAGCCACTACCTGCGCTGAACCTAGGTGGCTGTACGTTGATGAGGTAGTCGCTTGCCCCCAGTCTGCATATGACCTAGGGGATACGCACTGCAGTGTAAGAAAATTCCATGACCGTATGCATTTCCCCTTAATGAAACTTTATATATGAGGATTCGCCCAGAAAATGGTTCGGTTGAACTCGAGACCGCATAATTCCACTCTAGGACAAACCACGGTGACGAGTAGTGCTTTGGGGTGTGCTTTTAGCATATTGTTACAAAGTTGGATAGAACTGTGAAAAGTCTCAGGAGGAAGACTAGTTGGTTGGCACAAGCTTGCTTTCGAAAATGGGTCGTCAGGCCAGTACATTTATAGGGTATCAGA